CCAGATGAAAGTTATATACAGTGTTAAAATTCTGTGAAAACTGTACCCATAAAATTTATATTTTGCATTGGTTGAATAATGTAGCTATTATTTTGTAAAAACCTTCTAAGATTAAACATAAGACTTTGGACCTGTTTGCCCCCTGGCAGGCCCAATGTACCCCACATATGGGGTAAAAAGAACCAGGTGTTAAATTAAAAAAAAAACAATTTTCAGACAATTTTCTATAACTTCAATCGATATGATAATTTCAGACAATCTACAATATTCTTAGACAATTTGTAAAATTTTCAGACGTTTTGTAACAATTTCAAGAGATTTGCAATCTTTCAGACAAATTACAATATTTATGAACAAGTTGCAACGTTTTTAGATAATTTGCAACATTTTTGGAAGATTTGAATCAATTTCAGAGGACTCGAATCCTTCACAGATGATTTGCAAACTTCTCTGAGGACTTGCAACTTTTACTAAATACTTGCAATTTTTCCAGACTATTTACAACACTTTTGACTATCCGTAAATTTTTCAAACTAATTATAATATTTGTAGACAATCTAGAATATTTACAGACTATCTAGAACATTTTTAAACTATCCGAAACAAATCAAATTATCTGGAACAAATAAGAATAAAATGTTAGACTATAATGTTTTCAGACTATTCAGAATATTTCCAGATTATCTAGAACATTTTCAGTTAATGAAGAACATTACCAGATTATCTAGAATATTCTTAGACTATCTAAAATATATCTAGACAATTTTCGGACTGTCTACCATCAGGAACACATGGGAAAATATTCCACCTATCCAGAATATATCCAAACTATCCAGTTTAAGAATATTTGCAAACTATCTAGCAAATTGCCAAATTATCTAGAATATTTTTAAACTATTTTGGCCTATTTCCAATATTTTCTTACTATCTAGAACATTTTTAAACTATTTCTTTAGACTAGATAAAAATCTAGAAAAACCTTTTCAAAAAATCTAAAACATTTTCAGGCTTGATAGAATTTTTACACATTACTCTCTTGAACATGTTGAACATCATCCAAACAATCTTGAAAATAACTAGAACATTTTCAGGCAGTCCAAAACCTATTCAAAATACCCTGACTATTTTGGGATTATCTAGAACAGTTTTGAATTATTTCAGTCTAAAGACTATTAAGAATATTTTCAAACTACCTAAAATATTTTCAGACTATCTAATTTATTTTTGAGCAGCCACATTTTTTAGACTATCCAAAACTTTATTAAACTATCTGAAATACAATGTTTTCAGGCTATACAAAATATTTCTAGAATATCAAGAACATTCTCAGACTATCTAGGACATTTTTATCTAAAACATGTTCAGACTATCCAAAAAATCTTCAAAATAACTAGAATATTTTCAAGCAGTTCAGAACACTTTCTAACTCCAGAACTTATGCAGAATATCCTGATTATTTTGGGACTATTTAGAATATTTTTAGGCTATTTAGAATATTTTCAGATTATCTAGAACATTTCGAGTCTCTCAAGAACACAATCATTTTCAGACCATTCAGGACATATTTAGTCTATCTTTGACAATTTTGGACTATTAAAAATAATTTCGTATTATCTAAAATATTGTCAGAACATCTAATATATTTTCAGAATTCTTTCAGTCCATATTGAATATTTTTAGACTATGCAGAACAATTTTAGACTATCTATCTATTCAAACTGGAACATCTTAAGACTCCCCAAAATGTTTTCTGACTATTCAGAATATTCCCACAATATCTAAAATATTATTAGACTTTTTGAAATATCTTCAGGCTATCTGAAAAATTTTCAAACTTTCCAGAACATTTCCTGACTCTCTAGAACATTTTCTGACTATCCAGAATATTTTCGTGTTATCTAGTAAATTATCAGATTATCTAGAATATTTTCAGATTATATAGAAAATTTCAGACTATCTATCAGATTTTACACTTTCTAGTAAATTTTTAGTCCAGTTCTATACTAGTAGCGTGCAAAATTATTTTAACTTAGTAAGCTATTTCTGAGAAAGATGCAAATGAAAACCATTAGCATTCATTGTTAGTGATGCCTATCTATAAAATTATTTTGCTTTCTTTTACTCAAATTAATTTAACAAACCTTATGTATTATTATTTTTGTATATTTTTTTCTATAATCGGTATAATTTTCATAATAATCAAGTGTGAAATTATGTGCATATATTGTTATGATTATTGCATGTTATTCTTGAAAAAAAAATATGTGACAAAAAACATTCTTGAGATTTCTTTATAATGTTTCGCATAACGTTATAATCAAGCTAATGTACTATTTTTGCATGATTGTAATCAATTTTCATTTTTCCAGGAGTGTCTGACAATCCTCGCCCTGTCATCAATCTGCACAGCCCAACTTCGTCTACCAGCAGCAGTAAGCGAAACCTACAACGATGTCATCAGACACATACCAAATGCACCTCAAAACATTTTCAACCAACAACAATACGTAGAACGTCATCTCACCAAACGTGTGGCTGATCCATCAGGTCTCCAACAAGGCACCATGGACAGCTATTTACAAGCCTACAAAGATCAACATGATATTTACCAATCGCAATTGGAAAAGAACTATTTCAGCAATGCAAGGAAACGATCAGCCAAACAAGAGGAATGGAAACCAATCATCAAAAAAGTTGAACCAAAAAAGGAGGAGGGGAAGTTGCAGTTTGATCAAACCCAAAGGTAATAAAAATAACATGATACATTCTAATCATATTTTTTTTTATTTATTTTCTTACCAAGCTATACAAAGTACATTCAGCTACATATAGTTATATATTATTTGACTGCGTGAAAAGGATCGCTATCCTTTTGTAGTTTTAATGATGCTTCATCTAATTATATTTCTTCCGGAGTTCCCCAAGGCAGTGTTCTTGGTCCGCTACTTTACATTATATATACTGCTGATATACCTACAAATGCAGAAACTAGGAAATGCAATACCGATGGAGAATTTCAATACCGGTATTTCGGTAATTTTTTATTTTGAAACCGGAACATCGGTAAATTACCGGTATTTTTATAATCTTAAACAAACGTAAACAAAATTGAAAGTTACTAGTACAAATATAAAAAAATGTATATGCAACTACAACTATATTCAACTAAACAATAAAATAAAATAATAAGTTTATGTTTTTAAATAATAATTTAACAAAATTATATCCAATTTAATTAATTTATTATCACTATCGAGTATATTGAGTACTTCTCATCAAAAACAAACTTATGAGTAAGAAAGACCAAAAAGTCATAAAAGATCATATTGCATTATTATAATAAACTGTATTGTCTGTATCCGATGTGTTAAATTAGCATAATTTCTACTATTTAAAAAAAATAATTTTCTACACTAATTTAATATCGGATACTTTGTCAAGATAAATAATAAGTTACTATAATTGTTGAGTATTGTTATTTATAACAATGTTATGCTTCTATAGTATTTTCAAACTTCGAAACGTTTTCGAAAAATAATATATCATAATTGTAATAAGAAGCAAAATTATTTAGTGATTATCATAATTATTATGTATAAAGTTAGAAAAAAATAAAGATTACGCAGATGTAATCTGTATGATATAAAAATTTGGCGCAAATATCACTTAAAAACCGTTACATTTTTACATAAGATAAAACAAACATCATTATCTATCAGTACAATTTTATATATTGTAACATGATATGAGGCCCTTTGCAAAAGCAATAAATATTCAATTTAATGACGAGTTGAGATAATATTTGACATTTGTTTATCCTATAGAATCACTTGAAGATATAGCTGTTTATGCGATTATGGAATTTAAAGATAAATTTGTTCCGAGAAATTAAAACTTTAGTGTATAATGTATCAAATAGCGCTTATGTAAAAATACCGAAAATACCGGTATTTTTGGGGTAAATACCGGTAAAAATACCGCCAAAAAATTGGGCGGTTTACCGGTAATTCGGTATACCGGTATACGGGTATTGCATTCCCTAGCAGAAACCATGATTGCTACCTTTGCAGATGATACGGGAATTTTAGCTCAACATGACAACCAATTGCTTGCCTCGGAAATTCTACAAAAACATGTAGATGAAGTAGAAAAATGGATGAAACTATGGAGAATAAAAGTGAATAACTCTAAATCAGTTCACGTTACTTTTACCTTACGACAAGGCTCATGCCCCCTGTTAGATTGAATGGTGATTTGGTTCCTGTATCCAAATGTTGTTAAATATCTGGGGATACATTTAGATAGAAGATTAACCTGGCATTAACATATTCTAAAGAAGCGTCAGCAGCTCGAATTAACACGTAGGCAACTTAATTGGTTAACGGGCTGGAAATCACAAGTCACAATAGAAAATAAACTCTTAATCTACAAGACAATAATTAAACCAATATGGTCCTACGGTCTACAACTATGGGGTGCGGCCAGTAAATCGAACATAACTATTCTACAAAGGTTCCAAAATAAAATTAGATCTGCTCAATCCTTCACCACCAAAGCGTCTCAAAAATAAAACTTTTAATCATATGTCTTAAAATTTTTGGTTATCAATATTTTTTTTCTTCTAGGTATGGAAGGTCCTACGCACCACAACCCCAGGCTGCAGGTTTGAGCGCCTTCAAATCTGATTTGATTCATCCAGCTCCTCCTGCACCAGTGGTACCCCAACAGGCAGTGCATTTGAGTTCTTTGGCACCACCAGTATTCACATTCAAACAACAGGCTTTCACTCCCGTCCAAGGAGCTCCTCAGATTGCCCATCTTAATGTACCATTGAACGTTGCTCATTTGAGTGTGCAATTGCCTCCTGAATTGAAACTTTACTTCAAACAACACGGTAAGAAAATAAAACGAAATAGTAATAACTTATATGATAAATTAATAGTTTTCAAATGAGAAATAGAAAGGTAATTTAGGGGAGTGACGAAAACCATAAACTAGTTGAAAGTGGCATTTAGTTTTAAGACAAGTTGCATGAACTTCCCGAAATGTGTAATAATTAACTTAATTAATCGAAATTGAAATTTAGATATTTAGATAAAATTTTCAACTGTTCATTTCAAAAATAAAACTAGTTGGTATTGGTATTTTGCCTTGAGGCAAGTTACATGAACTTCTCGATATGTGTAAATAATTGACTTAATTAATAAAAATAAATTAATTTATGAGTGATTAAAAGTATTCCGAGTGGATTTATTACACATAATTCAAAACGAGCGAACACATGAACTCGGAGTATTTACTAAAAGCAAATTTTCAAAAATCAACAATTTTTATAATTGAACCAGTTTCCGTAAGACTTTAATGGTTTAGTATGTTCATTAAGACCAAGTACTCCATTGTTATACCAAGTAAATCGACTAATTTCAATTTTAATAAACGTCAAAAAACTACTCATTTTCTTAAACTTTGATGCAGTTTAGATATATGCTAATTTCATATTTAAAATTAAAAATTTGCTAGAATGTTTAGAAGACTCGCTTCAATTACATAAATAATCTCAAACTTTTACAAGCATATCATATATATGTTTTCTTTGCTTTATAAATAATTGATAAATATATATACAAACTAATCTTCAAATTTTAAGCAAAAATGTCACAATTACAATATTTTTTAAATTTATTATTTTAAATATACAGAGTATTGGCTTTAACAAATATTAAATAAAAATTTAGAATAAAATCAATTATATAGCAATCAAAAATCATTATTATTATCACTATTGCTCGGGTTTTAGTAAAATGAGAAAAATAGTGTCTGTTTATTAAAATAATTATAGATCAGTCATTACGCTATTTCTATATACTTAAAAAAAAATTAAACTACTTGTCATATTTCATATTTCAGTAAGTTCAATAAGACAATGATATATAACGCCAAAAAAAGTTACATAAAAATCGGCTTAATTTTTTTTCAATAGTTAATTATAAGAAAACGGCTCGGCAGATTTTCACCTAAAGCTAATCAGTATCATTCCCAAATATTATCTTTCGAACAGTTTTTGATTTTTTAAAATCGATTCGGTAGTTTAACACTTTTTTAAAAATTGCAAAGAAACGGCTGGGCAGATCGTCGCACAAAACTGAGAAACGATAGTCCTCATTGGAATACATCAAACGGCTTTTAAATTTCTGAAATCGGTTCAAGCGTTTTTGAGCAAACGTCGACAAAAGTTCTAATTTTGACAAACGCCAAAAAAACGATAATAATTTTTGCAAACTTTAGCCGTAATATTTATCATGATCTATAAGACTATGGTATTTACCGTCAAAAAAAATCATAAAATCGTCGAAAAAAAATTAATACTTGATTACAAAAAAACGGCCTAGCGACCAAAAACTAATCAGCATGATTCCCAACCAATATCTTTCAAACGGTTTTTGAATTTTTAAAATCGATTCAGAATTGCAGCTAAAACGTGGGCGAAACATTTTTCACTTTTTGGCTATTTACAAAGAAACGGCTTGGCTGATCTTCACGCAAAATTGACAAACACTAGTCCTTATCGAAATACATCGAATGGCTTTTAAATTTTTGAAATCGGACCAGCCGTTTGAGAGAAAACGTCGATTTACGGCAAAAAATCTGTTCACAAACAAACACACACATACTTTTATTCTCATTCGATTCAGAATGGCTTAAAAAGTCGAGAAAACATAACTAACAAATCGGATTTTTTGATGAAGACTTAAATTTCTCCTTCGGGAAGTTAATAATCAATTTAGACGAATGACAAAAACCACACAGTTGGTTTTAGGTAGTCTAAACCACACACTCTACCAATTGAATTAGCTAGTAGTTCAAGTTGACATAAAAAACAATATATTATACACTTGGCATGAGCAAAACTTTCCAACGGTTTCAAGTCAATAGCTTCCTCCATTTGCATCAATTTAATAAATGCAATTGTTGTTCCTTCGTTGAAAGCAAAACGTCTCTATGTGATTTAACAAGAAAGCTATTGTATTGATTTTGAATTATGATTCTTATTAACAAGTTAACTATTTTGTTAGGTATGAACCCAGCTGACTACCAAGCCTTCGCCATGGTCGACAAACCAGAAATCAGAAACCAACAATTGTTTGCTCTAAACACTCTAATTGGAAAAACCCCAAGCGAGCAACTCAAAGGCTTGAACACACTCCTGACAAAACCCTTAGAGAACGATCACCACATCAGCAACCTGGCTGTGAATATCAAGGATTCCGCTATTGAAGTACCAGCTTTGCAGCACAAAGTTTTGCCAGAAGCTCAGCATGTCGTTTATCAACATGCAACAGCTCCTGCACCAACTGTGGAGTATCATCATGAAGAACCACAACATGTAGTTGCAGTTGCTCATCCAACTCATCAGGAAGTTCATGGTCATCATGAGGTTCATAGTCACCCTGTTCACCAGGAAGTTCATGCTCACCCTGTTCACCATGAAGTTCATGCTCCTGTCCATACTTTATATGGTGAGGGATTGGAAAAACATCATGATAACGTGAGTAAAAAAAAGTACAACACAATCCTTAATTCTCGATTATTAGGTTATATTTAATATTAACAAGTAGTCTATAGATTTCCGTTGTTATTAGTTCGAAGACATCGACAAATTGATTAACTAGTGGGGCGCATGGCATTACCTTAAGGCAAATTGCTGGAATTTCCCGTACCGTAATTAAACATTTGAGAAATGAAAATAATCAATAACTGTTTTGGTGACGAGCGTAATCAACAAATAACTTTTTGTGTGTTTATAAGAAATTTGTTCTTTTTTTTTAACTTCCCGTATGGCAAGTTATAGTAATCAAAAAAGCAAAAAAGTCGAAAATGAAAATTTTTATATATCTTTACGTTTCAGAGGTTTCTGAATATTTTGGCATATCTTAGAAAAAATGGATGTGTGTGTATGTGTGTGTGTGTATGTGTGTGTGTGCGTGTGCGTGTGTGTTCGGATACAAATTTTCGTCGACGATTTCGTGAACACGGATGAAGCGATTTGAATAATTCAAACATTCGATTCGTATTGATGAGGAGATGTGCTGATTAGTTTTTGGCAAAGACAGGTCTAGCCGTTCCAAAGATATGGGGCAAAAAGTGCCAAAAACGGTAACTCAGACTATCAATAAAAATAAGTTAAAAAAGTGTCATTTGGCGGTCAAAAATGTTTATTAGACATATGTACATCAAATTATTAGATATTTTATAGAGATTTTAATATTGTGTACACATTTTGTGTAAATGTGTAAATATTCCCTACCAAAATTTTTAATTTTCAAGTTTATTTATATGGTTCAAACAAATGTCTTCGACATTTGCGACAGTATGGAATAACCGATTTATAAAATTGAAGAATCACTTGGTTCGTACTTGATCGCGAGGCGTTTTTGCAAAAGGCAATTTTGCCGTTTAGGAGGCATGGAGCGCAAAGGGTGTAAAAACGGTTATGCAGTTTTTGAGAGAACGGATCATCCGATTAGATTAATTCAAAAAACATTTTGCTTGGGTAAACGGTGTGTAAAAAATGCATTTAAAGAAAATTTAGAAATTCTGAAAATTTTCAAAAAAAATCTATATTAAAAAAAAAATTAAATTTTCGAAATTTTTCATGTTTTCAAAAAAAACTGGATTTTGAAATATAATGATTTCTTACAAAAATTTGAGAATGTTTCAAAAAGTTTAAAAAAATCGAACATTTTCAAAAACTTCCAAATTCTCAAAATATTTAGAATTTTTTTTTTGAATTCCAAAAAAAAATCAAACTTCTAAAAAAATTTCAAAATTTAGAAAAAATTTCTAAATTATAATTTCTAAATTATCAAAAAAAATGAAATTTAAAAAAATGAACTTTTGTAAACGTACCATAGGTTGTTCATAAAATACGCTCGTCGCTCAATTTAAAAAAGCACTTGTAAGTTGAAATTATTCAAAACAATTATTGATTATTTTTTTAAGGCACGATGTTCTTGCGCCCCACTAGTTCAGTTATTTTTAGTGTATTGGTTTGCGTTAATAATAGTTGGAAGACATCGACAATTTGATTAAAAATTGATAGTTCAAAGTTTGGATGGATTCAACTTAACTTTACGAGTTGATCCAATTTGCCTTGATAGAATTAGTGCCAATATTTATCAAAATATTTTCTTTTCTCTAGTATGCTCACGCTTACGCCTTCGGCTACCGTGTAGTTGACCAGAAATCAGGAAATGATTTTGGCCACAAGGAGTCAAGAAATGGAGATGTCACCAAAGGTCACTACCATGCCCTTTTACCAGATGGTCGTGTACAAAATGTCAAATATTATGCTGATGACACTGGTTACCATGCACAATTAAGTTATGACATTCCTCATCCAGTAGCTTATGGAGTTCCTCACCATCATTAGAAGGATTGGTTGATGTAGGTTTTAGGACAATGTGCCATCGAAGGAAATTGATCAGTTTATAGGTTGGGATCTCGAAAATTAGAGATTGGAAATTTATAAAATCCAAAGTCTCTGTTAAAAATGTATATGGTACACTGGCATCTTCTACTAATTTATTGCCAGAGTTCTTCTAAACATAATTATTGATAGTATCCTTATAATTTTCGAGATCTTACACTTAGATAGATTGAGTTATCGTATTTTTGTTATGTTATTAACAAATTATAATTCATATTACCAACTTGAACTTCTAACATTGAAACAAAATGCCAAAATTTATGTGCAATACAAATGTTAGACCAATTTTTGGTCAACATTATAAATTCATATTCCAAAAATGATCTTGCGTGAAAACTATGTACCTTGCTAGTTATAAGATTTATTAGTCTAAGAAAACTGATTTTAGTTATGAATTACTGTATAAAAATGTTATGTTTTTTATTATTGTTATTTTGCTCACCAGCAATGGAAATTATGTTTTTTTTTAAATAAATGCATTATAAAAATATTTTGATTTTGTTTATGTTTTATAATTAGAATTCCAAACATTAAAAGTGTACAGAAATTTTTGTGATATAGATTTTATATAAAACCTTATTTAGTAACCATCAAACGTGAAAATAGATTTAAGATATTAAAATGTCGTTTTTAAGTGAACAATGTACCGCAAAATGTCTTTACATTTAATGAACTTTTCAAAGGAGATGTTAAAGTTATTGTCAGTAAATCCATCTTGCTAATTCAGTGTTTTCTCGACGTTTCGAGGCGTTCTCAATCGTTTGACGCCAGAATTGGAAATGTGTGTGGTGTACTTGAAACAAATTAGGCATGTCTTGTAGATGTTTCCTCAAAAATAGCATAAACAATTTCAAAATTTAGAAGACATTTTCTCTCTTGAGTGGGAGTATTGTGGCACAAGGCCCCACATCGTTTATATAGAAAACGTCTAAATAAAAATGTATTTATATATTTTGGGCCAAATGTTCTGATATAAAACATGTCTAGTGGTGCGTAGCATCGTACTTTAAAGCAAATTGCTGGAACTACCCGTACCGCAATGAAATATTTAAAGAATGTTGAACATGAAGTAAAACTTTTTTGAAATGCAGATGCAGCATGTTAAACAACGCCTGAATAAATATTGTTCTGACAATTACACTTGTTATTTAATTGTGTTTGAGAAAATACATGTAATTAAAATTAACATGCAATTATTGATTGCTTGTTTTTTTAGTTTTTTGCTGGCGGTACAGTTGCATTCTTTAAACAGTTGTAGTATCTGTCTTGCATATAAAAATAATTTCCATTTTAGTAACCTCAAAAATATAAAGTAGCCACGAATAATATAATTACTTCAATAAACTTACGTTTGTAAGTATGTAATGTTGTAATTATTTATGGGAGACGGGATAAAATATTCTTCCGATCCAGACATTTTTTATTGACATGCATTTGTACGGATTTACACCCTAGTCGCGCCTAAAGAAGTTTTACTTCAATAAACAAAATATTCTATATCTGTCTTTGCCAAACACTAATCAACATGTCTCCCATCAGAATGAATCAATTTTTTTCACTATTCAAACTAGTTGTTCCGTGCGCCCAAAATCGTGGACGAAAAATTGTATCCATACATACACACACATTCATTTTTTCTAAGAAATATGCCAAAATATTCGGAATCCTTGGAAAAGTAAAGACTTTTGTTCTACACTATATATTTTGAACATGAAATGAAAGTTTTGTAAAAGCGAAGTTGCATCTGTCATGAATATTATATATTACACAAAAACTACTTATATGTTATGATTTATATTATATATATATATATATATATATATATATATATATATATATGTATAATACTTTTTTAAAGCGCCTGATGTGCTCTTAAATTAAAAGTTTTTTTCAAGTTAAACCATAATCAGGCGCAAAACCGCAATAGGTTTTAAAATGTATAGTGAAGTATTTTTGCGCCTGAATATGGTTTAATATTATAACTTTTATTTGAGCATGTATTTTATTTAATAAAATAATACTATTTTAGGCGCATTATTTATAATAATGATCCAGATCTATCAATGAACAGCTATTGGTAGCGGTTGATGCCCAAATTTAACTAGTTGCTATTGATATTTTGCCTTAGGGTAAGTTACATGAACTTCCCGATATGTGTAAATAATCGACTTGATCAATAAAAAATAAATTAGTTTATGAGTGATTAAAAGTATTGCAAGTGAATTATTTATTACACATAATTGAAAACGAACAAACACTTTAACTCGGAGTATTTTCTAAAAGCAAATTTTTAAAAATCTATGATTTTTATAATTGAACCAGTTTCCGTAGGTCTTTAATGGTTTAGTGTGTTCATTAAGGCCAAGTACTCTATCGTTATACCAAGTAAATCGTCTAGTTTTAATTTTAACAAACGTCAAAAACACTACTCATTTTCTCAAACTTTTATGAATTTTTAAAATTAAACTAATTGTCGTAAGACCGTAATATTTCAGTAAGTTCTATAAGACCATGATATATATCGCTAAAAAAGGTTCATAAAAATCGGCTTAATTTCGACAGTTAATTACAAAAAAATGGTACGGTAGAGTTTAACCTAAAATTAGTCAGTATCATTCCCAACGAATATCTTTCGAACAGTTTGATTTTTTAAAATTGATTTGGTAATATGAGCTTAAATGTAGACGAAAAGTTTAACACTTTTTTCTAAATTACAAATAAACTGCTTGGCAGATCGTCGCACAAAACTGACAAACGATAATCCTCATCGAGATACGAGGTCTGTTCAAAAAGTACCCGGAATTTTCGTTTTTTCAAAAAAATATTTATTTATTCGTCTACATTAATGTGGTCCCCTTCAAAGTAGTCCCCCCCAGATATAATACACTTATGCCAGCGTTTTTTCCAATTTTCGAAGCACCCTTGATATTCACTTTTTGATATGTCCTTGAGCACTCTCAGCGATTCGGCCTTTATTTCTTCAATCGAGGAAAACCGCCGTCCTTTCATGGGTCTCTTCAACTTTGGGAATAGGAAAAAGTCACACGGAGCCATATCTGGTGAATTTTTGCACTTTGCAACACTTTATTTCATTTTTTCAGTAATTCCGGGTACTTTTTGAACACACCTCGTACATCAAATGGCTTTTAAATTTTTGAAATCGTTTCAGGCGTTTTTAAGCAAATGTCGATGAAAGATCTAATTTTGACAAATGCCAAAAAAATGATACTAATCTTGCAAACTTTGAAGAATTTCAAAATTAAACGGCTTGTCTTAGGGCCGAAATATTTTAGTATGATCTACAAGACTATGGAATCTACCATCAAAAAAATCATAAAAAATCGTCAAAAAAAATTTTTTAACAAGATTTTTACAAGACAATTTTTAACAATTTTTACAAGAAAACAGCCCGGCCGATCTTAACCAAAAACTAATCAGGTCAATTCCCATATCTAATATCTTTCGAACGGTTTTTGAGTTTTCGAAATCGGTTTAGAATTGCGGGCTAAAACGTGGACGATTTTTTTTTCAATTTTCTGCGATTTACAAAGAAACGGTTCGGTCGATCGTAGAGCAAAGTAGTTGTTTTTGAGAAAACGTCGATTTACGACAAAAAATCTGTTCACACACACATACACACACACATACCTTTTCCAAATGTTGGTCTCATTCGATTCAGAATGGCTTGAAACGTGGAGAAAACATAAAATAAGCGAATCGAATTTTTTTATGAAAACATAAACTTCTCCTTCGGGAAGTTAATCATACTTTTATTAAAATGACACCACTGGTGTCTCTTATTCTGTCGGGTATCATTCCGGTGACCTTTGTCACTGCATCACCCGCCATCTCCGTCCGCCGATGATTGGCTGCCGGGCGTTTGCTGTATGCGATTGCACCGCCATATATCAAAGTCGTGACATCGACGACACGTTGCGACCGCCGCGCAGTCGTGACCTGTCTTTTTTACTTTTTAGTCGATTGGGATTGGGATTGGGACAGACACTGCACAAGTAGAAAAAAGCCTCGAGGCGCGAAAAATTAAATGAACTAGCTGTAAGTGGAATTCTGTCTTAAGGCAATTAAGGCATCGTGCCTTAAGGCAAATTGCTGGAACTTCCCGTACCAAATATTATTATTTTTTTAAAAACGATTAACATTTTTGAAAAAAAATCACTTCGAAGAAATTATATTTTTTAGAAACTATAAATTTGACAAAAAATAACTTTTTTTTTGAAAAAAAAAATTTAAAGAAAAAATATTTATTTATTTCTCTATTCTAATATATTTTGGAAGATCTGAACTCTTTTTCAAAGCAATCGTACTGGGTTCTGCTTTAACTGCATAGAGACAAAATAAAAAGCGGTAAGCGCCGCGTCGCTGTCCAACGGATAAAACATTGGTACGGAACCTATAGGAATGTAAACAAAATTTATACTTATTGTTAAAATCTCTATAAAACATCTGATAATTTGATGTGCATATGTTTAATGTTCATTTTTGCCCGCCAAATATCTGCTTTTTTTTACTTTTTCCTCTGTATCTCCGGAACTGCTAGACCTGCCATACCAAAAATTACATCAATAATTCATTTGGTCATTATAACTAAAATGTTTGAATTATTAAAATCGCACGCTCCGTTCTCTCAAAAACTGATTCACTATTTTTGGCACTTTTTGCCCCGTATCTTCGAAACGCCTGGACCTGCCTTTGTTAAAAACTAATCAGCACATCTTCAAATCAATAGAAATCGAATGTTTTTTGAATCATTCTAATCGGTTGATTCGTGCGCTCGAAAGCGTGAACAAAAAATTGTATCCAAATATACACATACACACACATACGTCTATGTTTTGCAAGGTATGCCAAAATGTTCAGAAACCGTTGAAACGTAAAGATATTTAAAAAATTCTATTTTCGTTTTTTTGCGGTTACTGTAACTT